CTCATTAATAGAAAGATTTCCAATTAATTGTTATTCCTTATATTATGTATTTCTTACCTTATAAATAGGGTTGTTCATATGTAAGAAAAGAATGGAAGAGAAAAAGAGAAATAAACGTGCAAAACCCGCATTTGTACCAAGAATTAGGATTCCAAACTACTTAATATGTGTCTTCCTCTCTCACTTATTGTTGTTCCTCAAACACTATCTTCCATCTCCACATCATGTCATTGTTGTGCCTCAATCACAAGATCAAATAAAATAATAATTAATGAATTTATCAAGAAATATCGGTAAGAAAATATCATCAAAATAAGCGTCAAAAGCTTATTTATTTTAAAGAGATTCACGTCTTTGTGAAGAGTAAATCAACCGATGTAACAGAGATATATATAGCATGTCGCTCCAAGGATATGCTGCAGCTTTATAATCACACTCTATAAATCTGCACTATCCATAGAGTCACCAAACTCAAAACATCCTTCTTTACCCAAGAATATTTAGAAGATAAAGTAAAGTAAGGAAATTAGGAGAATATGAAGGAACTCTCTACTTTAAGCAAATAGACATGTCCCATATACGAGACTCATGGTCTTGTAATTCCCATTTATAGGTTAATGATAAGAATAAATTGGGCAATTATTATGAAATAATATCCCTTAAATAGGATAATTAACCTACAATGGCTACTTTGACCAAGTCCTTAATGGGGCAATAAATTTAATTTATAAAATATATTATTTTATTTTTTATTAAAATATTTAAGTTCCAACAATTCCCCCACTATTTTAATAAAAACTAAACCTTTCTTTTAGGCAAAAATGGATTATTATGCATAATAAAGGTAGCTAAGCCTCGAACCTTTATTTAGTGAGTCAACAATTCTTAATAAAAAGTCAATAGTGAACTAAGTCTTGAACTATGATCCCGTTGGAAGATACAAGAATTGTATCACATACATAATAATCCGAATGTTGAATTTTTCACACAACTGGCGCATTATGGCCTTGCACATGATCTCAGTTTTCATGGGTGATCTAAAAAAGTGCCCATCCAATTTTCATAAAAACGGCCTCATTCGACACCCACATAAGTGAAATTTGTCAAGGGTACTCCCATAACTAAAACACTCCACTCTATGAGCTATAAATTTCATTAAGAGTGTATAACTCAACCCTCAATTCGTTATGGGATAGATGCATCCCCACCTTAGGAATGGGACTGGAAATTTTTTCCATTAAATATTGATGCATCTTTCAACAATGACTTTTCTATGATTCGTTTTTCCCATTCAAAACCCAATTCTTAGAATTCGGATTGGGTATCCTCATAGGAAGTTCTATTTTATTGGGCTTGAATCCCATTCCCCTCGATGAGTACTAGACCTTGGACTATGATCATAGTTTTTCCTCCAACTCTTGTTTATCCAAAGGCCTAGTTGGTAGTAAAGTGGGTAATGAAGAGATTTAACTCATTCTTTTTCTCACTTTTTCTTTTCACATTAACCCACATGTCTACTAGATCATAAAATTCACATTCATATTTTTCAAATTCTCAATTCATGGTACCACAATTTTTTATATCAAGTTAGTGAACCACCTTTTTCTTTCCATACATGTCAAAACATGTATTAAAGAATTTTTTAACTCAAACACCATTGTACCTTGTTGTCCAATAGGAATGTCCATCACATGCCCCTTTTCTCAAATGCTTTATTTTTTTTTTTATCATACATCATTATACCATAATTGTATAATAGGAATGCTCATCACAATTACTTTGTTAAGCATCATTATACCTTATTGTATAGTAGGAGTGCATATCACATTTGCTTTATTAAGTACCATTATACCTTATTGTATAATAGGAATGCTATACAAGATTTCAATTAGGCACCATTAGTCTCATCACCAAAACTAATATACAAGAGTATCACAATCCCCTATATTGAAAGCATCTCAAATATATGATTATCACATTTCTCAAATAATTAAGTTCATGAAGAAACACATTTCTCAAATAATTAAGTTCATGAAGAAACACATTTCTCACAAAGTTTCATAAGAGCCTATTAGCTCATCTCTCATTTATCGCCACAAATGGCTCCTCAATCACACAAGCTTAAAAAGTTTACCTTATATTTTTCGAAATATATCAACCCAAAGCCTTTTTTTCACTTTGGTTCTCAAAAACTTTCACCTGTTCCATAAAAGAATGTAATAATATGGTCAATTAAATTCATAAATTTATTCATAAATTTTTTCCCTTAATAGCTATAGGAAATGAACCAAATATTTACCATATGCATTAAGAGCAAATGGCTAGCTTATTATTCTTATAAATATAGCCATTATAGCACTAATAATGGCCAAAATGCACCATTAATCTATTAATTAAGTAGCACTAATTTAATATGTATGTAATACTAACGGCTAATAACATGAAGTGCTAATCATAAGGTCCTTGTATATAATTAAGCAATGGATATTTCAACACCCTCTAGTTTCATCATTAAAAAATTACTATTTTTTAGTCTGAAACTAAAAACAGACAAGTACAATGATACAATCATGCACACAGGATACAGGAATGGACTGAATTGACTGTATTTATATTATATTTTTAATGACTAAACTAGAGAGTGTTGAACCGGATGTTGAATTGGAAAATGTACCAAACATTTCCCTTAAGCAATAAATCACCATTGCATATAACCTATGAGCGGCCATCTATCTTTATGCCAAATTAATCACAAATTCATATATGTATCAATGTATGTATAATGGGAGACATTAAAATTGCATGTACAACGTCTTAACAATTTTTTTTTTTTTTACTGTCCACATGCCATTAAAAATAAATAGCCTACCATTCAAGCATGTGCTAATAATCATATTAAGATCTAAATACTCATACTTGTTTTGAGGCACCTAAAACAAATAATATTTTGCTTACACAATGTGGCATATGTTTTCAATTTTACTTTGCATATTGAATTGCCTTAAAATTGTTGTTCCTTGAACACTCTCCTCCATCTCCACATCATGTCATTGTTGTGCCTTGATCAAAATATCAAATAAAATAATAATTAATGAATTTATCAAGAAATATTGATAAGAAAATATCATCGAAATAGATGTGAAAAACTTATTTACTTTAAGGTGATTCACACCTCTGCGGAGAGTAAATCAATTAGTGCAGCAGAGATATATATAGCATGTCGCTCCTAGGATACTACAACTTTATAATCACATTTTATGAATCTGCACTATCCATAGAGTCACCAAACTCAAAACATCTTTCTTTACCCAATAATATTTAGAAGATAAAGTAAAGTAAGGAAAATAGGAGAATGTGGAGGAACTCTCTACTTTAAGCAAATAGATATGTTTTATTTATAAGACTCATGGTATTGTAACTCTCATTTGTAGGTTAATGATAGGAATAAATTGAGCAATTATTATAAAATAATATGCCTTAAATAGGACAATTAATCTACAACGTTTAGTTTAACTAAGTCCTTAATAAGACAATAAATTTAATTTATAAAATATATTATGTTATTTTTTTTTAAAATATTTAAGTTGCAACACTTATCTCTTATTTTGTCCATGTTATTGCTATGTTATTATAAGATTTCTACCATTAGAGATTTTCTTACCATATTAGAAACTTCTTCATCTCTGCTATGCAGGTTGCTCTTTCTGCAGCGCTGAGAAAGAACAGTTCCTGTCATTTCAACGTTGGAGGAGAGCCCTCCGGCAAAGGAACCGAGCAAGGTTGATTTGCCTGAGCCAGAAGTAACCATGACGGCCATGATCCGGAGAGGTTGAGCATAGCCAGTCAGACCACATAGCAGCCTCCTTGTGGACGAACCATTCCTCAAGTTTGTTGCCATTACCGACACAGTGAGATCTTCCCACACCAGGTATGCCGCCGCTCTGTTTTCTTCTCCATGGCCTGACCTGGTCAGCTCCATTTGTCCTGGTTTCAACTTCAGCTAGTTTAATGCTCTATAATCACGAGAGCAGGTTAAGGAGTCATAGATTCATAAACGCATTCGTGTCTTTAATGGACACGAGTCGTAACTCTGCACGGAATGGACCAGCTTTTAAGTAGTCTAAGCTTTTGGCGTGGAACTGATTAGGTCAAAGACAAGGACATATTTAATTCTAGAGCCTATAACCATAGACGATCATGCATCACATTGTAAAATAAAAATAATTGGATAAAAGAACAGTATTATCAATATCAAGAATTTGTTTGTTATTTAATGATTTATATTGGATAATTCAATATAATTCAGAGTGTATAATATTTTTTTTATAACCATATCGAATCATAGTTAGGAAGAGAGCAAATATCATTTTCAATTAAGGCATTCTCTTTAGCTTCCTTGACTATTATTGATGTTTACCCATTTTAATCTTCTTATGCAAGATTAGTTGTCATTCATCAAATATCATTTGAGAAAGAAATATGGAGGTCCGGTGGTGGGAATGGGCCAAATAGAGTTTTGCTATTTTTGTTAGGACTCAAACCGTGCATGCTAAGTTTTGCCTCGTTTTGGTTCTGCTTTTTTTTTTTTTTTTTTTAAGAACATAAACAATTAAATTATAAGAAAATGATAACAAAATGAAAAAAAAAAAAGGATTTATAAAAATTTTAAAAAAATACGGCTTAAAAAGAGAGGTACAACATTAAAAATAGAATTATGATAATATCAATTCCATGAACATCGCAAATGTCATCCTTCAGCGAGTATGTATCGACGTTCCTTATTCAATGGAATTGCAGTACAATCCTAAGATAGGATTTGCTCTTGGTCAACTTATCAATAGATCAATAGACAATGGTTTAAAACACTAAAAGAAAAAAAAAAAAAAAAA